AGCTAACTTCTAATTGTCTCCTAGCACCTTGTAAAATAATAATACTTAGCACAAAAATCACTTAATCACCAAAATTTTATCGCACTAGCGGGTCCCACGTCTATAATGCGTTTCAAATTTAACGTACACTAACTTATACTAGGAAAATGATTTAAAACTGTACTTGCTTATAAAAATGCATAGAAACTTTAATATTTTAAAGGCAAGTATAAAAATGTAGGCAAAAATAAAATAATGCCTAGAAAATGTGAAAATTTTCGGGTTCTCACAAATACTATCGTTATAAGAATTTCTTGGAAATTTCACTTTATCGCGCACAAATCGGAAGTACGCGTTTTCACCCGCGCGATTAATTGAGGGACTTTAGACCTCTATTTTTAGACCACCATGAGTGAATAATAATAGTATGAATAAAAGTGCATTAGAGGTTTAGTGCATAAATGAAACAAACTTGAGAGGAATCGGGTGCGTAACGCGCGCGAACACGCACTATTAAAGAGTTGACTTTGAGCCATTGTGAGCCACACATTTTAGCTTCTCTTGGAAGCTTTATTTGCATCACACACTCTCTCTTTCTTGCTCCAAGACAGCCGGCCATCCTAAGCTTGAAGAACAACTAAAGTTCTTCATTTTTCTTCATCAAAACTTGCTTCAATCCTTCACCAAATCACCTCAAACTTCAACCACACTTTGCTAAGCACTTGGTGATCATCTTAAGCTACAAAAGAGCTTGCTTTCCACGGCTTTTCTTGGTCTAAGGAGGACCGAAAATCCTGCCTTGAAACATCTAGCAAAGTAAGTGACGATCAAACCTTCAAATCTTGATTTATGGAAGTAATATAGCACTTATAAGTTCATATCTTCTTTTAGGTAGCTTTATTGATGTTGGAAAGTTGTTGTGTGGGCTCTATAAACTCCCACTATGGTTTGATGGACTGATTTGTGGTGTTTTGATGTTATTAATGTTGGTTTAGTGCTTAAATTAGTAGAAATGAGTGATATTATGGATGAAAGCTCAAAGGGAGTGAAGATGGAAAACTTTCCGTTTCTGTCCCTGTGAATGTCCGTGACCCTTAGAGCAAAACTTTGTGGTTCTATTGACTTGTTTATGATGTATACATGTTGTGTGGGTGGTGTAGAAAGTTTCATCAAAAAATTTCATGATTTGATTGGCCAAATGATGTGTTTTCGGAAGTCAGTAAAAACTGGAAATTTTCCCGTAACTGCTCTGGCAGTGTTTTTGTTTTGGCTATAACTTTTTGCTCAACATCAAAATCGAGTGCTATTTGCGGCACTGGAAATTAGACATTCCCAGCTTTCCAACGGTATAAAATGCACATCCTAGTTCCACCTGAGTAGTCCATACCAATCGTTTGAACATGACTATCCTGTTTCGCGTCTACACTGGGAGCTCTGTTTTGAGCAGCGAATTGATGCTCAAATATGAGCTAGCTGTGGACAAATTTTGAGAATGATTTCTTCTAAGAAATTGTAGCTTTATGAATCTAGTTTTCAACGCCACTGACCACGCTCGATTATAAGTTGAATTGAGTAAGTTGTGGCCGAAATCCGAAACTGACTCAATGATTTGACACCCTCTTTTTGGCTAGTAAATGTCTAAATCTTGATTGGGACTTGTTGTTTCTAAATTCTTGGTGTTAATCACCTACCAAACGGAAAGCTCATGTACAAGGCAGATTTGCCTCGGAAATTTGGAAACTTTGGTGATCTGGTTAACCAACTTTCCGTGCGTATTTTTCCATGAAAATTGATAGAGGAATATCCCTCATATGGTAGTATAATACTACCAAATTTGATGCCATTCCGAGTTCATTTCGATGCTCAAACAAAGTCCCAAAGTTTGTAAATTTAACCTGGAAATTTGCCTAACCGTCTCAATTTTTCAGCAACTTTGAGCCACTATATCTTGGTGCTCAAAACTCCGATTCTTGTTCCGTTTGTTTTTTTTTTAAACTTTGATTGCAACTCTAATTGAGTTTCAAATCTGAGAGGCTAGTTCCAATTCTGTGAATTTTACCGAATTTCCAAAGTTGGCGAAAAACTAACCTCAAAACTGTCTCGCAAGCCTAAAACAGTAACTTTGAGCTAATTTTTGAATGCCTTCCGTTGGGAATCATGGGAAAGTGTATTCTAGAAACTTTTAGAACTTTGGAAGAAGTTTCCAACGGTACCAAGTTTTCCAATTTTGGACCTGTAATGAGTGAGATACGATTTTTCAAAGATCTTGTATCAAAGCTGAAATTTTCGAAACTTGAGGAAATAGAGTTTTCAAATTCTCCTTTTCCCCTTGATATCACTTGAACGTTTTACACTTGATTTCAAAGATGAAAACTCGATTTCTCTTGTGCTTTAAAAATGTGATACCCCAAATTTTAGGACAATGTTTTTCCCTCGTTCTTTTAAAATTTTGATTTATTTCTTTTGTCTTGTTTTAAAACAGTGTTTTTTTAATTGGACACTTTAAATTTAAATCAAAACCCTAGTTTTACTTGTGACTAAAAGGTTATTATGTATGACAATGCACATTTTATTATAGGTAATTATAGTGATTGGGTGATTAGTGGTGTAATTGAGGTGTAATTAGGTTTTTGGAATATATCAAGTATGTAAATTGTGGAGTAAATTGGTAGGATTGTGCATTTAATTGGGCCATAGTGTGACTTTTGGTTAATTACAAGTTGCTAGACTTCCTAAAGGTTCCATGAGATTCCTAAGCTTAAGTTTGATTGGCTAATCAAAAAGGTATGTGGATTTTGACCAAGTGGCTTAGTCTTTATTTAACTTAGCAAGACAAAAGCCAAACAAAAACAAGGAACATTCGGCCAGCTTTTGGCAGAAAAGAAGGAAGAAAAAATCGAGAGGAAATAAGAGGAAGAACAAGAAAAATTCTGGTTGTGTGCAACTCATCCAACAAGCTTGGGAGTTAGAGCAAAAGAAAGCTAAGGAACTTGGTTCTTGAAGTGCAACCTTGTGAACCAACCTTTGGAAGGTAAAGCAGCCTTGAACTCTTGTAAAAACTTGTAGCAATTGAGTAGAAATGTTGATTTTGATGTTGTAAGATGCTAATAAGGGTTAATGATGGTTTATATATCACTTTTGTGGGTTTGTGTGGAGGATTTGGTGATTTCTATGATGGTTTAAGAAAATTCCAGCAGGTGATACAAATTTCCAGTTTTAATGCTGAAATTATCCTGTTTCTGACCGTGTCTTTTAGTCCATGTTAGAGGCCGAATTAGCCTTAGCTCAAAACATAAAAGTTGTAGGTAATGATGTTTTATAGCTTCCTGTAAAATTTCAACACAATCCAAATACTGTAACATGTGAAAAGACAAAAATACCCCTGACTGCCATAGGTAGAGCTTCATGGACAGTTTTGACATTACACCAATCTGACCGCGTCTGTTCACCCTGATCCGTACTGAATTAGTATTTGGCCAAAACATAGAAGTTATAGTGCTATGTCTTATCTTTTCAACGCCCCTAAAAATGCCTTAATCGGACTTCGGTAGCCTGAGTTATTGTCGGTTACACATAGTGCGGTTAACTAGCTCGAATGTGAGATTCTGGTTCTGTAATTTGAATGTTTGACCTGGATACCCTATGAACTGGACTGAGTGGTCTTCATCAAAGTTGTAAGCCTTTATCTTAGCTTCGAAACGCTATAAATTTCACCCCAATCCGATAAGTGTATCTTCGGTTGTGTCTGTTCCGCTAAGAGACGTCACATCTGTCTTTTGTTTTATGACTTAAACTTCATTTCCGGACATTTTCCTAGCTTGATTTTGTACTTGTACGACATTGAGCCTATTGAATGGCTATTGAAATGAGATTATTTTGTGTGTAAATTTGGGGATGATTTGAGGAAAATATTGAAGCCATAAATGGCTGGAAAATAGGTAAACACATGGGGCATGCTGCCAAATTTTCACTTGAGGAATAAACTAGCCTTTGGAGTTCTAGTTCTGTATTTTGCAAATTTGCCTTGGATACACTGAAAACTGGGTTGAGGTGTCTTCATGGATGTTCTATCCCTTTGTAGAAGCTTCAAGACACTACCAGTACATTTTGATCCGAGAACCACAGCTCCAGTTATGGTCAAAATTGTGTAACCCATTTTGTACTATTTTCATTTCCACGCACGTGCACATGCATTCCTTTGCCTTTTTGCCGCTTTGATCGTTTTAGTCCTTATTCCCATTTGGGATGGTCGATTCATTGATATTTGAGTATAATCTTCTGTCACAGGCAGTGACGAACCGGACGGAGTCGGTGGACCCGTATAAAGTACCTTGATTTGTGTGCCAACTCTTTTGAGTGAGTAATTGGGTTGTTATTGATGTGAAATTGTTAAAGTGCTTTGTATATGTTAAATGGGTACTTAGGCGAGGGTGTACTTTATCTCACTCGACCTAAGCCCATCCTTTGTTTTGATTTCATATGTGAGAATACATGCCTTATGTTGAGTATCACCCTTTTGTTGTGTGCTGATGGAGGTGATTACATGACTTGAATTAAACCCCATTTTGTTGTGTGCTGTTGGGGTAAGCACTTTGTTGTGTACTTTGTTGAGAGATATCATCTATTGAGAGATTGGATATCTCAGGGCTTGGTTCCAGCCCGGTTCCAAGGGTAGACGAACTATTCGAGCCAGCCGGGGTTTGGTCGAAGATAGTTCCATGCTAACCTTGGGATTTAGTTATTTGTTAAAACTTTGATGAAAGCTAAGTTATTTTGTTTCTGTGACAGCCCCACCTTCCCCTAGGGTGTACCAAAGAGGTTAGCGGACTGCCTGCCCATCTCTCGCCAGGACTACTAAGACGGTCGTATATAATCTAAAATGTTTCAGAAAATGTTAGCGCGCTCACGCGATTAAAATCGTAAAATGGGAAACAAAAATTAAAATCGCAAATAAATAGTGACTGCCACGTCACCGTCCAACTAGAATCCAATCGTATGTAGATCTGATCTCACCATATACCTCGGAGAAACATTCCCAAACCAAATAGGATACATGAACAGGGTTTAACAGTGTTATACACATACGTTTGTAATTTACAAATCAAAAGGGAGAAATTTAGATCAAAGTACATTTAGGATTTTTTCAACCATCGAGGAGCTTTACAAAAAAATATAATCAAACTATATGAAAACTAGTTCAACTCGTGCTTCAAAACAATATAGTTCCCTCAAAAGTTATTCATATCCCTGTAAGGAAAACAATGTAACGAGGGTGAGCTTACGCTCGTGAGGTACCAATAAAACACACCAATAAACACATTTTATCACATAGTGATTCCAAAGCTCATAAACAAAACAAGTCAATGAAAGGATACAATTGGCTCTCAAGAGCCACTTTCCACTGGCCGCACTTGATCTCCAACCCGTTGACACTCTGTCAACCTTTGGAGAAAAGAACATCCCGTAGATCCCCACTTTACTCCGTATCCCTTCCACCGATCACCCCCTTACCGGGCCCGAACACCTCACAGTAACAGAGAGGGTAATACTCGAGTATACCATAAGGTCGAGGAGTTAACACTCTACTCGACTGCAGTGAACCCAAGGTCCCTTATCGATTCGCCCAAGCCTTTGCCGGCTCGATTCGATTAAAGACCAATAGGGTAAGAGCTCAGATAGCACAGTTAAGTTGTCGGGCAAAGCCCTCAGCCATGTCAAATCATACATGTAGACAATTTCACATTTTGACAATAACAGTAATACAGATAAGAGATCGAGAGTGATAAAGTACACTCTCGTCTCATTCAAGCCATTCAAGTTCACATAACAAGTATAAGCAACCATTTAAGCAGTAGACCATATAATGGTACACTCACCAAGTTAAGTAAGCAATTTCACAAGTTAGCTTCAGGCGTAGGCGTCGGATTACCGGCACGACCTATACAACAAGAATATCACAATTAAGACTCGAGCACGAGTCAATTCAAATCCACGCACTACCAAAAATAAGGCCCAATAGAACGTATAAGTGCATAATCAAGCTAGGGACATGTGCGGAAATGAAGTTTAAGTTGAAAAGCAAAAGACAGTGTTGATGTTACTTAGCGGAACTGTCACAACTGGAGCTACACTTATCGGTTTGGTGTGCAAGTTACACAGTTTCGAAGCTAAGAGAAAGGGCTACAATGTTGAAGAAGGACACTCAGTCCAGTTTGCAACGTATCTAGGTCACATTTACCAAAACAACCCCAGATTTTCCAGTTCGCAGCTTACTATGAAATTCAATGAGCAGTCCTGATTCATTCAATCATATCTCAGCACATACAACTCTAATTCAAGTGATTCCAAAGCCATATGAAAGCTAAGATACCAGGCTATAATTCTTATGAAGACATCGACAACCAAATTGTCGCGCCCCACTTTTTGATGTAATGTTGTGGTGTGTGTAGTGTGTGTGTGAACGTGTGCAAAATGAAAATAAAGGCCATGGGACTCGATAATGCGACGGTTTGGCCATATAAAGTTCAAAAAAGGGTTTTTTGTATCAAAAATGGAGTCGCCACTTGGTATAGAGTTAGGGTGTACCAAGTCACCCAAAAATGATTTTTGTTTTTGAAAAAAGTAAATAAACCCTTTTAGAGAACTTTTGGGTCTATGCAACCAAAAAAAGGATCGGGGGTCACATTTGACGAAGGGGAAGGCAAGGATAAAAATCCAAGGCACCCCTTCGACCTAGCCAAGGCTAGTTGCGTGACTTAAACCAATTTTCACTAATTTTTCTACCCAAGGTATGTATCGCGTGTTGGATATGTCTATATGAATGCAAAACCCTAGACCTAGGGGTATTGGGGGAAATTTCTTTTCAAAGGTTGAGTGGTGCCAATCACATTAATTGTGAAGCCCAATAATGATCCTTTGGAGAGGTCACATAATCCTAAATGATGTAAAAATGAGTGGAATGCATGCCATGTGAAAATGTGAGTTTGTGTGAAGTGAGAAAAATGATAAAAATAATAAGATATAAGTGGAGGTGTGCAAAGGTCTTTACAAGATAAGGTAAGTAAAGAATAATAAGGTGAAAATGCCATAAAGTGCATATGTGCGAGTGATATGGTATAGAGTGTAAGTAGTTGAACAAAAACGTGTAAAATGAAAGTAGTGTGAAGTGAGAAAAAGGATAGAATATAAAGTAAGTGTATGTGATAGTGAATGAATAAAATGCATGAATCCTATAGGAATGCATCAAGATGGGAACGGGGAGTCCTAACTTTGTGACTTTAATCTTCCCTTTGATTAGAAGGGGGAACTAGCGTGCTAAGGCTATTGGATAGCCACACTCGCTCGTTTCCCTTATCGAAAGGGGACACTCAAGCAAATGAACCCTATAACTAGTATGAGATGCAAAACCTAAAAATGAGGGGAAAAGGGGTTCGAGGAACATGCCAATGATAAAACTAAGAAAAATGCATGACATGTAGTGAACATGCAAATATGCACTAACAAAAGGGGATGGCCTATTGGGTCTAGCGTTGGACTAGCCCTTTCTAGGAATTCCTAATGAAATAATGAGCCACAACTAGCATTGGACTAGTGTGGTGACGTACATTCATCCATCACATTCATCCACGACTATAGAAAGCAAGTAGACATGCCAAATACTCATAAACACATAGCAAGTAACACTTAGCATGCTCGACTAGATGCAAGAGCCTAACAAAGCAAATTAACACATAGCAACAAAGGTAAGCAACCAAACTAATAAACCTATTACATTTGCTAGCTAGGCACACGTCTTCAATAGGTCTTCATCAAATGCTCCTCCAAGCCCTATCTATTACAAGCCAAGAGGTGTACACATACCCCATAAAAGAATAACTTAACAAAAAACAATAGTAAATGAAATAAATGAAAGGAATTAAAGAAAGGCAAGGAAAGCAACGTAGACATGCAATTCACACTTAGCACGTTGGATCACATAGGAGAAATGAAAATCAAGGAGATAGAGGTTACCTCCCTTGCAATTGGGCCCCAATGAAGTGAAATCACTTATTTATCCTCCAAAATAAAAGAAATGGTCAAGGTACCAATTTATTTGGGAAAATTAAAGGAAATAGGCGAACACAAGCTCACTTGATCATAAAGCCCCTAAAGTCATGACTTGAGTGCAATTGAAACAAAGCATGGTAGTTAATTGAAGCAAACAAGCAATGAAGTTGCAAAATTAAAAGCTACCAAGGACCAAATTGAGGAAATCATGTGATTGATTGGGCCATAGTAGAATTAGATAGGAACCAAGGGTTTAGAATCAATTTTAGAAGTCTTCTTCATGCAAAGCATGCATACGAAGAGGATTTTCTGCAATGAAAACCATTCAACAACTTTGAAACTTTCTTCCATTTTTCCATTTAGCCTTGTAAAACAAACCAATGAACTTGACAACTCAAATTGAATGCAACAACTTGGAACTGGGGGGAGAAGAAAGACACGAAAAAACTGCAATGGAATGCTGTGATCATTTGCCCAAAACAGGTTTCCAAGAGGATAAAAATCTGGCAGCTACCTATCCTTAATGCAATGAACACACGCATGTTTTGTCAATGGAAACAGCCACCAAGACTTCACTTGTTAACACGTTCCTAAAGATCTTTCAAACAACTATTGAACAAGCTCCATGATTACACAGAAATGCAAGGAAGACAGCTACTGGAATGAATATAAAAAAAGGAAAAAAAAAGTTGCAAGCATTGGACCCATTCCTGCATTTTCCTGTTGCAGCCTTTGCCGCAAACCCCCCTGGTGTTTTCTTGGATTTTACACAAATCAATGCACCAGTCATCGACACAGGATTGATCATGCAAACAGAGTAATGAAATCCAATTTGTGAGCTGCTGTGGGAGTCAAAATATGAAAGCTAACGCAGCTTCATGCAAAATATCATGAGAAGAGTTTCTGCAATTTCCTTTGCTGCATTACTTTACTTTAGCCGAATTGTGTTCGTGTGCCAAAAGCTCCTACAGACTTCCACTAATTTGACTGCCAAAACCCAACTACATGGACTTCAGCAAGAACAGCAATTTTTACCCACTGAATGCAGCTAAAATGCAGCAAATTGCAGCAAAAGACACCACTTCCGTCTTGCTGCAATTCACCCACGAAGCATGCTCATTCATCAACTTAAAACCAACCTACCAAGTGTAATGCACAAAATGCAGTAAGGAAGCGTGAACTAGCTACCAGAAATTCCCACCATGATATCTAGCAATTCCAACCATGAAGCATGCAAAATGGAAACCAGAAATTCCAACCCATTTCCAAACCAAAGAAAACCATGATATTCAAGCCTTTCATTGCTAAAACATTGCAAAAAACATAAAGGAAACGGCAACCAGGGAAACATTACGGAACCAGACCCAACGAAAAAACTATAAAGCTGAAAGCTTATTGCAATTATCTGGTTTTTGTTCATTCAAACGGATGATGATCGTTCATAAACATTAGACGCATGAAAACTCTAACGGCTGTCCCTAAAATCCAGCCAATACTCATGGATTCATCCATCCCAACCAGATTTCGCAGACAGGGTTCATAAAGGGAAACGACACAAGCGTAAAGACAAGAACTTTCAGCATTCTATCACAGTCAACAGTTTATAAATGGCTCCAGAGTAGAAAAAACATCACCTTTAGCTTTTGATCAAAGCTTGAGTCGGAAGATGAAACCTTTGCTCAGTTGAATCGTCGTTTCCTGGTCTTGCCGTTTTCCTTCTGTCCGGCGGCCACTTATCCGTCGACCTTCCCTTTTCTGGTTCCTTTTCTTTCGATCTTTTTCCTTCACCCTCTCCTAGTTCCACTCAGCCGCTACACTTCTCCTTTCTTAAACCTCAGACCCTCTCTCACGGATGCTCTCTCCTCCAAACCCAGCTGCTACCTAGCCTTCTGGTTTTTTTTCGTTCCAGCCTCTTCTCTCTATCTTTTCTTTCCTCCTCTGGTCTTTTTCCTCTCGGCCCTTTTCTTTTCTTTTCCTTGTTTTCTGTCTCCCCCGACCTCGCTTTGCGGCTGCTGCATCTCTTGCTATTTATATGGGAATCCAAGTTCCTCAACCCTTCACTGGATGGTCAGGATGAAAGGCCTGCCCCTGCCTTCATCCTGCCCTTCAATGGCACGCACGGAGCTGTCCTTTGCAAGCTGCAAAAATGCAGCTTGCAGGCCGTGACTTTTTTTTTTTTTTTTTAACTAATACAATAATAACAAAATTAATATTAAATAAAGAAAAACAACAATATAAAAAACTAGGAATAAGAGATAAAAAACAATGAAATGCTAATTAATTTTTCTTTTCTTCATTTTCCGTTTTTCATTTTTTCCTCCAAGAAATTCTACGCTAAAGACTTAAAAATAAAACTAGAAACTAAAAACTAAAAATCGAATAAAACTAACACGATAAATAAATAAAAAACTAAAAATAAACAGTAAATGAAATTACACCAAAAATTTGGTGTCTACAGTTTGCCCCTCTTTGTCTGAGTTTTGGAAAACTTGAGACAAAGAAGTAGACACCAAATACTTACCTGTACCACTCGGTTGCCCCTATTCGGAGGATTGACCTAAACAAGGAATTTCAAACATGGGACTGGCCCGAACAGAATTGTAAACGGGATAGACCCGGACAGAAATGTAAATGGAATAGACCCAAACAGAAATGTAATGGGATAGACCCACGGGATAGACTCGGATAAAAATGTAAATGTGATAGACCCCAAACAGAAATGTAGACGGGATTGACCCGAACAGGAATTTAAACGGGACTGACCCGAACGAGAATTTAAAACGGGACTGACCCGAACAAGAAATTTAAAACGGGACTGACCCGAATAAGCTTTTAATCATGGGACTGACCCGAATAAGCTTTTAATCATGGGACTGACCCGAATAAGCTTTAAAATCATGGGACTGGCCCGAACAAGCTTTTAATCATGGGACTGACCCGAATAAGCTTTAAATCATGGGACTGACCCGAATAAGCTCATGGGACTGACCCGAATAACTTTTAATCATGGGACTGGCCCGAACAGAAATGTAAAGTGATGATGCACACTAATGGGACAAACCCAACGGCTAGCGGCGAATGCAAATGAAAGTCACACTAGTGGGACAAACCCAACGGCTAGCGGCGAATGCAATTAAAAGGCACATTTGTCCCCCCAACGGCTAGCGGCGAATGCAATTAAAAGGCACACTAGTGGGACAAACCCAACGGCTAGTGGCGAAAGCAAATGAAAGGCACACTAGTGGGACAAACCCAACGGCTAGCGGCGAATGCAAATGAAAGGCACACTAGTGGGACAAACCCAACGGCTAGTGGCGAAAGCAAATGAAAGGCACACTAGTGGGACAAACCCAACGGCTAGCGGCGAATGCAATTAAAAGGCACACTAGTGGGACAAACCCAACGGCTAGTGGCGAAAGCAAATGAAAGGCACACTAGTGGGACAAACTCAACGGCTAGCGGCGAATGCAATTGAAAGGCGCACTAGTGGGACAAACCCAACGGCTAGTGGCGAAAGCAAATGAAAGGCACACTAGTGGGACAAACCCAACGGCTAGCGGCGAAATGCAAATGAAAGGCACACTAGTGGGACAAACCCAACGGCTAGTGGCGAAAGCAAATGAACATGCTTACTGGCGGGACAAACCCAACTCCAGCAGCGATGAAAATGAAATGCTTACTGGCGGGACAAACCCAGCTCCAGTAGCGATGTAAACGAAATGCTTACTGGTGGGACAAACCCAGCTCCAGTAGCAATGAAAATGAAATGCTTTTGACAATCGGACAGTGGGATCAAAACCCGAGCCTGCCGTGATGAACTTGACTTGATTGATTTTTTTTTATTTTTGTTTGGTGATTTTTCTTTTCTTTTCGCTTTTCTTTTTGACTTTTGAGAATCTTTCCAAAAACAAATAATTTGCCCCAGTATGATGAATTTTTGTAACTTGAGCCCATAGTTGATTCTGTATCGCCATGTTGTTGCACCTTTTGATCAAATTTGCTTGCAACATTTTCGATTTGCCTTTGTTCACCAGAGGACTCCTTCCAACACCGATTCCAGTGCGAGGTGTGATTGTTTTCATCCATGCATGGAATTTTCCTGCAAAAGAGAAAAAACAAAAGAATTGCCACCATCATTTGATCCGCTTGCCTTTTGAGAATCGTGTAAACGTAAGCCTTTTGATGCCTTCGTCAAAGTTGGCCGCGGCATCTGACTTGGTTGGATTTATCACTTCAAATGTCTCTGCTTTTCCAGACTGACCGGGTAAGCATTTTGCCATATTGCGAAGCCTTCGTAATTGGCTTGGCTGCACCTTAGCCCTTTTTAAGAGATGACCGAACCCAAGTATGCTTCGAGTAAACCACAGGGGTTGTCATTTACCACAATTCAATGATAAAGAATGAGGTATGCAAGAAAAATTCACATGTCATGTAGAAATGAATATGCACAAGAATGCACTTACAACTATTTGTGCTTAAATTCTACAAAAATGCCATGAATGCAAGAAATTTGGTAAAAATGAGTTTCCTAAGAATGTATTTGCCAAAGAATGTTTTACAAAATGACACAGCTTTGGCCAAAGGATGCGTATTCGAATCTCTGAATATCCTTGTTCTGGAATTCAATATTGGCAGGGGTATGACAAAAATGAGGAGAAATCCAAACGGACCAAACCACCAGTTGTTCCTCCTTGTGCTTGCTCATTACAGAAATCCTACCTTGGCGCCCTTTCGGGTTTTCACCAAGGTTGCCCCCACTCCTTTTCTTTTGTTTTGTTTTTGTTTTTGTTTTTCTCTTTTTCTTTTCTTTTTCTCCTTTTCTTTTGAGGTGCCCTTTCGGGTTTTCACCTAAGGAACAATGGAAAAACTCAACCATAATCGACTCAGGAGTATGAACTGAAGATTGCTGACATCAGTAAAATGCGCTTCCCTTGTAAGATTAGGCGAAGGCATTATGGACATCACTTGCCAGTTGATTAGCAAACTTCCCAATAGAAAATACGGCAAATGACGAACGCCAGGACTTTGGGCTTTTG